TAATTTGTAGGATTGAACCTTGAAGTTTGAATTCCGTGAAAACTAATGGCAATATGAGTTTGGACGTATGGACTAAGCAGACTAAACTTTCGACGAATAAGTCTTATGTAATTATTTGTGCTCTTGGGACCTCAACACACACAAGATCATTTCGCAAACCCCAAAAGCTATCTATCTGGACCAATTCCTGACCCTTTGACTGAAAGGTTTAGGTTGAGAGATTTATTTTACCTCTTCACACTCCAGAGATATTCTTCGCTTTACTGGATACTGTTTTCTTGAGAGTGGTCTCAATCTTCAGGTTGTCTTCGATGCAAAAAAATCACGGAACGCCTAACTTACCATTAGACCTACTGTCTGACTTACTATGATTTTCGCGGCATAATTTGAGGTTACGGTAATTAATAGTCAAAACTTTTCAAGTATCAGCTGTATGAGAAGAGCAGTTTTCAAATCAAAACTAAAATTCAAGAGCCAAAATAAATCTGGCAGATGCGAAGAAGCTAAGTGCAGTTGCTGAACCGTTAAATGCAGGCAAGTTTGGTTCATAAATAGTGATGACTTGTTTTAACATAACAACAAGGTTTAAACATAGCATCCTCTTCTGCACGTTATGCATTGGGATCTGTCGCGTCACAGTCTGTTTCTCTCATGGCTGTGAAATAAAAAAGTTCCACAGAGAATTCAACTACTACTAACAGTCCTCTGTTTTGCTACGACGACACTCACGTGTTTGCTTTTCATTCTTCCATCTCCAGGTCTGGACCTATATTAAAGACCTAAATCGTACTGATGAGGGCTAAAGAGCCGTGTCTGCGGTTGGTCGTGGATCCATTGGTTTTAAATAAAAAGTAAAATCGGAAATTGGAACAAATACGAATGTGGAGAAAAGTTGAAAATAAATAAGATAAGTGCCTCATGAAATGGAATAAAAGTGTGACTATACTGATGATATCATGACAGTAACACTGATTATCACAGAATGAGACCACAAAATACAAGCTTGCTTCCATTAGATGCTAGAAAATTAAATGGCTTATTAGACCTATGTATATCAAAATTAGACAGTCTTCCTAGCATTCCTGGGGCTTACCTGATTTCCATTTTTCTGTAAAAGCCAAGGAAGATAAAAAATACAAAGAGGGCATAATATTAACAGTGCTGAAAATACAGAAGTTGGGAACGATGATAGTGGAGAACAAGAAGATGAATATAATTTGAGCGACTCAAATTGGCATTGAAGAAGTTTATCCGACCATTTGCTTGCAGAATACTGTAATATTTCGATAAACATCCTACTAAGTCTAGAGCAAGTGTACTTTTTTCTTTAGTTGATCCAACGAAAAGAATATTAAGTCAACAAAATTTATTAAAAAATTGTCATTTTCGCTAGGTTTGTATTGTAATACCACCTATAACCTTCTATATATAAGAATTACTACAACGTGCAACATATTTTTGATCAGATAATCATTTTTCTGACAACGAAATTTATCAGAACATTTTCTAATGCCTGTATCTCAGTTCAACCAAAGGTGAGTTACAATAGCCTTCCTTGCAGGGATCGAGGTGTTGGTTGGAGAATCAGGTGAAAAAATCTTGATAAGACTAAACGAATTAGATTTCATCACCGTACTCTGAAGCATGAACGTCAGTAAACTATGGAGATGATGGAGACCCTTACATTTCCTAGTCCATAACCGCTCGACGTGCAGCGATAAGCACAGCACCACTATCACGGTCGGCTCTCAAGTGGTCGGAATACCAAGTATCCACAACTCAGACCGTCAATGACATTTCTATGCATATATGCTTATCAAGCTACCATAACCAGAGCAGATATTAACACTTCGTTACAGAATTTCATACCTCCTTGCCCGTGGCGTAACCCTGCATTGCATTAGAGCGTTTCTTTCTAAATATGTGGAACATTTGCCTAATATTCCTTTGTTTTATACAGTGGTGACTCGGGAGACAATGCGAACTAAGACAGTTCCAGTCAGCTTGATGTTTCACTATCGCAGTGATCGTTTCTACTGTCTAATTTCGATTATATTTTGATATTATGTCAATACAATTTAATGAAGTATAGTATATCGTTATCTATCGTTATATTACTCACTAAAATAAACAAGTTGAAATGTTCCTAATAGCTTGAGGCTTAGTTATTGAAAATACGCTTGTAGCTTTTTAAGCAAAAATTTCTTTGAAGCTCCAAATAAAGGCACTTACTTCTTTATTGAAGAAAATTTGCTTCAAATAATACCTCTGTGCATCAGTGACATATATGTATTGATTTGTTATACCTTTTTATACAAAGAGATCAGAGATAAGGTACAGTACATACGACATCTTTCTAATTTTGAATAAATGTGTAAATGTCTTTTTTATGGCTAAGTGTTGATAGAAGTGTTTTGTATTGTGAACAGTTTTATTGAGTTTATTGTTCAATTTTCATCATTTTCCCTTCCAAATTTTCGATTTTTCTTTTATATCTCTATTTAACAACCGGTTTTTAACCCTTTAAGTAGCTGTAGCTGCTTTCAGCGATGACTTAATAGAAGCGCAGGCGTACATATTCACGTGAATTGGGTTACGTTAAATGAAGTGCATACATATACGGGACAGTCACGATGGTTAGTAGTGTTTTTAAACAAGTAATGCACATAAAATTACTTGAAAGTTATTTATTTAAAAACAAAATACAGCCGATAAATAGTAGAAAGTACATATTTTTCGTTCGTATGGTACATCCCAAAACAAGGTGCTGGACAGAGACCAGTACGACGCTCTAGGCATCAATAACGACTCTCTTTTTGCTTCTTCCTTTCAGCACATAAAACGCATCTGAAGTAAAGAAAAACGCAATAATACAAACGTAGAGTGATAAGTTTTTGACTTACTTGTTTGGCGGTTTTGCTTTTGTTGTTGGTGGTATTATCGATGGAAAATGCCTTTCAGTCACTCTTGTGGGCATTGGCGCATTGGCGTTCTAGACCTTCTTTTCTTTATTTGTAAGGGTTTGCTGTATTTTTTCACTATCTTCTCACCCAGCTCCAGTAAAAAGTTCAGTCTTTTTAGTTTTCCGCCATTCTTATTATAAATGTTAAAGGCACTCAACGTAATGACACTTAAAAAACGGAGAAAAATCTTCATTTAGAATTTTTTAACTCTAGTACGGGAAATTCCATAAAAGTGGAGGTAATTGTCAGATAAATCAACACCACTCATGCTGGCATTGTAATCGATTACGCAAGATGGCTTTTCAATATCCCCACTCCTTGCTGTAATTCTTTTCATGCTGTCATCGTGGACTGCGCTTATCATAAGGACGTCTTTTTTGCCGCGCCATTTCTAAATCATGACTTTTCTTCTAAAACATGCTAAAGTTTCTCCTCTCTGTAATTTTACTTTTAGTTCCCGTCGTATTCCTTTTCTATTTATTCTCATTGTCCCGACGCTGTCCGTCCTTTTTACTAGCTTGTCGCAGAGGTCTATGCTTGTATAATAATTATCTAAAAACAGGCGGTATTCCTTATCTAAAAGAGGATGAATCAATGTCAACACTACCCTCGAAATAAGCGGTTCATTTATATACAAAGCATTGTATTCAGTATCTGCGCCAGTATAAACTTAAAAGTTGTAAATGTAACCACTGCGGCTTTCACATAAGGCAAAAATTTTCATGCCAAATCGTTTCCTCTTCTCAAAACATTTATTTTTATTTTCTTAAAAACATTTTAGATACACTCTGGTCGTAGAAAATACATATTTGAAATCACTTAGACCTATAACTAATAGAACATCTGATCAAATAAACAATGTGCAAATAAATGCGCGAAGTTAACAAAGCAACAATTGAAAGATTACCATTGGGTAACATCACCTTTATTTTTTATTACGGCTGAAATTCTTTGGAGCATAGTGTTAACCAAATTTTGGCAAAAATTTGGTGTAAAACAATCCCATATTTCTTGAAGCTTTTGTCTCAGTTCGGTGATTGTACGAGCAGGATGTTGTCGTAGAACCTTTTTCATCTCGTGCCACAAAGTTTCAATAGGTGACAGATCTGGACTGCTAGAAACCCATTTCAAAAGTGGTAATTATTTTCTTCCATCCATTTTATATCCTTTTTTGAGGTATGGCACGCTGCACCATCTTGTTGTAACACAAAATCTTGGCCGGATGTCAAACATTCTTCCATCACTGGTAAAAGCGATTCTTCTAAAATTGCCAGATATTTGTTTGTATCCACATTTCCATCAATAAAATGAAGTTCTCCTACTCCTTTTGATGACATACTGGCCCAGACCATAATGGATGCTGGAAATTTCACTTTTCTCTTCAGACAGTCAACATTATTCTTCTTAATGCTCTTCGGTCGGCATTTGTGATATTACTTTTTTACACATATCGTGGCTTAATATTAACTGAACCAGTTACGTTATATCTTCTAACAATATTTCTCACACTGTACCGCGATAAGTCTAACAAAGTTGCAATTTCTGAGTTTGATTTCCCAGAATTAAAAAATGTAATTATCAGTAACCGAATTTTCTCACTAATAACCTTTCCTCTACCCATTATGAAAACCTTAACTACCCTAAACTATTTTAAACGTATTCTGACAGCTGTGATTAATAAAAACAATTGTCATGGCTTTTATTTTTCACAGCCACCTATGCGTTATAGACTTATTTTGCATTGAAATGAAAATAGGTTGATATGCTGTAATTGCAACATGTGTTATTTTTATACTGCAAATTTGATTAGGGAGTGATAAAGTTGGTGTTTTCTACTATATATTATCAAAATATTCATTGTTAATGTTTCAAACCTGCTACATTTTTATTATTTGTGATTGATGAGAAAAAAACTAAGATTTCAATAGTTGGGCCAACTGAAGTGGGAAGGGGCTCGTACTGTTTCCAAGCAAGTCTGCCTTTCCATCCTATCAAGGACTCATCTATGGCTATGTTTTCTTTTGGTACATAAGCTGACAAGTCCAAAACTGGTAAAACTTTGATCAATTTTCGGCTTTTTCTATGTGGATTTATAGTAGAATTATCTGCAAAGTGTAAATACTTTAGCAACAAATGAAATCGTCTCTCACCTAACTGTAGAGAAAAAAAGGAGTCTCTTTCGTCATGAAAAGTACATTTTGTGCTCAGGCTTAATAGAGATGCTTAGTGACCCGATAAGGGTCCTAATTTCATTACTATCTGTATCAAACTATTCTTTAACTCGGGAATTTGGTTTGAGCTTATCTTGATTCGAAGAAATATACTGCGATGCATATCTGTTTGTTTCTCTGACTATTATATCTATTAGATCATCATCTAAAAAATATTAAAAAAATTGCAATATATCCTTTAAATTCTTTACTTACACACCACTGTTTGACGTAAAATTGAATGCTGGCCTAGAAATCCCGTTCTCTGTCCAGGGCATTTCAAAACTTGGATCAAGATCAGGTTCATGCTCACTTTCGGTATCACTCTCTTCAAAATCCTTCTTGAAAATAGAATCATTATATGATTCGTCAGAACTAGTGCACTGATTCTCATCATCACTGGAATCATCTATAGTCATTTCAACATCAGAACTAGCCATTGTCAAAAGTACTTTTAACGTTTGAACACAAACAAGCAGGAAACAACCGGTATATGAGACCACGCAATAATGACTGCTATAGTCAAATACCAGAATTGATGACAGCAGAAGTCATCGTGCGCCACTGCTTGGACGTTTGCCAACATTTCACAAAGAGTACCGCCGCATTTTCAGAGGCCTCCGCGTAATAGCAGTGTCGTACGATGAGTTTAGCTACCATCAATTTTGGTATTTTACTATAGCGCACACCAAAATCAAATGGCGGCAGACAACAACTTTCGGTGTTGCTGGTATCACAAACACAAGTAATTATTGCTTATTCCTTATATGTACGGTGGAATCATCACAGGCGAACGTATTCGTGAAAACCATGGACGGCCTCAATAAAATATTCTTGGCGAATATATCCATCATAATCAACCTAGATGAATAATATGTTGGCGAATATATACGTCATTACCACTTAAGGGGTTAAAATGTATTTTGCATCTGAATTATAGAGATGCTTGACATCTGCACTTACACTAGCTGAGATTTTAATAATTTTTGAAAATTTGGTCGAGATCATTACAATTAATTAGGTGTAATTAAATTTGTGTTTCTGATAACACTTCACCTCGCAAACTTCTTTGTTCTTTGGAAAACTGAAGAAACACAAATTTGAAATTTCTTTACTTTTCTTATTGGTACTTCAGCAGCCCACCACTGCACATTACACCATAGTTCAATGTTTAACTCACTATTTTTTTAACCATAGCTCACACAGAAACACCCCAGATAACAAACTAACGAAGCTAATCATAAATTAGGCGCTAAAGCGCCATATAAAACTGAACGTTTGCTACCAGCCTCTGGGGTATTTTGTCACCGAGTGACGCCTTGCGTACGAAAGATTTAGGGCCAATTTCATCAACAACAGTCCGTTATTCTCCAACTATAGGGTAACAGCCCGTCAAATACAGCGAATGAGCTTCAGGTTCCAATCAACAAATTTTAGCAACCAATAGCTATGAAATGTTGAAAACAAAATACTGTCAAAGTATGAGATGAAATCTTGTCATTGAAACATCATCAGCTTATTGAATATTGAGAAATTATATATATACTAAGTGACATATAAATCCGGACACCCAGTTTAAATGGTTTTATTTTAATAAAATTTTGTATAAGTACTTAATGAAGCATAATAAGTAAATGATAAAAATTTCAAAATGATTGCACTGCTTTAAAGCCCTTTGACCTTTAATAATTTGTGGATGCACCCTGATGTGCTGCGCATTCTCCAACGCGCCTAGGCATGTTTCTGATCAGGTGGTCAATGTCCTCTTGTGGTATCTCATTCCAGGCAACCACCAACTCCTCTCGAAGTGTTTCTCGAGTCTGAGGAGGACGTTCCAAATTGAGCAATCGCCTACCCATCATATCCCACACGTGCTCAATTGGGGATAAGTCGGGATATCTTGGTGGCCATGGTAACAATGTGACATCATTATGTTGAAAGAAGTCTATTTATTGTGACTCTTGCAACATATGGTCGGGCATTATCTTGTTGGAAAGTTGGATCTGCCAGAGTGTCAAGATAGGGTAAAAGATGGGGTTCTAGAACTTCGTGGATATAACGCTGCGCGTTCATGTTACCTCTGATGAAGATTAAAGGTGACCTGGAACCATAAGCTATAGCACCCCAAACCATAACTCCAACAGTGTGATGAACATGTCTTTCAACAAAAAACTGTGGATTCCTCCTTTCACCACGTCGCCTTCTAACCCTGGCACGACCATCGTGCGTGCCTAAGCAAAATCGAGACTCGTCACTAAAGACAATACTGTTCCATTCCTGATCCCAGAGTGACCATTGTCTGCACCACTCAAGGCGATTACGTCGGTGTTCTCGAGTTAAAGGGAGGACCCAGTGTGGCCGGTATGAAAACAACCCAAAACTTCTCATTCGTCGGTAAGCACTTCGCATGCCAATAGGTCTTCCGTGTTCTGCAAACCATTCATTTGCAATGGACCTGGTAGTGGAGAAACGGTCCCTTAAGGCCAATAATCTTAGGCGGCGATCTTCACGGTCTGTTGTTCTACGGCGGCGTCAAGTGCCCCTTGCTCTTTGCGTACGGCCTTCTCGAAGCCATGCCTGACAACACCTAACCACAGTGTCTACACTTCTTTGCACTCTAACTGCAATTGCCCGAAAATAAAGTCCAGCTTCCCGAAGTCCCACTATACGGCCCCTATCAAACTCACTAAGTTGACGAAATCGTACAGGTCTCCGTACTCTAGGCATCGTAACCGATCGTAAAGGATGTCAAGAACCAAAATCCGCCAACGTTGATTCTTTACTGCGGCTGAAATATTCATTTTTAGAGCGTTAGTGAATTAAAAAAAAAAGCAGTATAAAAACCGGAATGTCCAACTGATAAGGCTGAACATTTTTTCACTTGTTATTTACAGTAAGATAAATACGTTCACCAACTTTTATTAAAATAAAACCATTTAAACTGGGTGTTCAGATTTATATGTCACTTAGTATATTATGTATGTAGTTTAAAGTACATTAGCCACTGCTCGCTCTCGCATCGCACGCGACTAATTTTTACCTGACCAGCTGAGAAGAGGACAGCGATACCTCGGAAATGTAAATTGGGACTACCAGAGCAATATATATTTATATGTCACTTAGTATAATTCACTCAAAATTTAAACAGATGTTTGATTTTTTAAAAAAACTCATGATTTAATTATTATTGTTGATTTTTTATTCATGTTTATACTATTTTCTTCAATTGATATGCGATTTTACTGATTCAAGATCATCTACTGGGTGTTTTTTCCTATAAACCTCTTGTAGATAGCCATTAAGCACCTACTTGATGACTGGCTCTACCAAAAAGTTCATAGATATTACTCGTTTCCAAACATTCATTCATTTACTTGCCGTTCATCAGAACTATTATGGCACCTTAGATTGATATTCCCACAAAACCATTCTGGTTTTTTAATATCCATACATCCATAAAGTTGAATATTTTTCGTTGTTCAGGAACTTAACAAACATCCACACTATATTCACAGCGATTAAGAAATACCCAAATATATGTCGTAGAGCTACCAGCATACCTAAAACCTGCAGAAAAACTAGAAATTTGCAATATTTTTCTTTTTTCACTGAGTACATATTCTGAGTTACATTTATATTAGACGTTATTTGAATCATAAAACATATACACTGATTTGAATAACAGCTGATTATCTCCTGATATTTTAAAACTAACCATAACGACAAGTGACACATAATTCTGTGGGATCCGTCAACACTTCGTCCCAGTGGAGCAAACTCTGCCAATTGTCGAAATAAACTTTATTAATACCAAGTCTTATTTTTGTTTTACTGTGCCTGCTTAGATATTCAAATACGGCCAGGAATTATTAGCGCCTCGCTATTTTAGGCCTTTAATAACTCCTTATTTTAGATCTCTCTCCACGCATTCATGGTAGAAAGAAAAATATTTTATCGAATATCGATACCGTATACCGTGCAGCAGGCACGCCCATCACTACTTTGACAGATTGCAAAATGATGTCAAGGTGACAGTCGTTATGTGGCAGTTGTTTTTGTTTTGTCTGAAATAGGTAAGTAGGCTTTGTGTATTCATTTTTGTTTTTATAGCGTTTCCAGAATCTCATATTGGAAACGATGTCAAGGGCCGGCAGGGGAAAATCTTTCTCTGAGAACTGAAAATCGTTAAACGCGCTGTTTTCAGTCTATTTTATTCTATCACTTGGGGAAGTACAGAATGAAGAAAAGACTACATTGCTAAGTGGCCACTCAGTGGCTCAGTGCTCGTCTGTAATGATAATATTCAAATACTACTAAACACCTAAATAGCTTTCTGGCCTCTCAATTTCGAAGCTACCAGTCCTCGCTTAGAGATGGTAGCTCAGTTACGGATAGACTCGGGGTATACGGTTACGGATGTTTATGATTCCTCTCGATATCGACATATCGTCATGAAACCATCGATGCGTAAAGATCGATGTTCTACGTCCGATGTATCGATGTTTTCGATACTTCAATGTATCGTCTATCGTCGCCATCCCTATATTGTATCCCCATCAGTCACCAGTCAAAAACCTTAACCACCAATATTTTATCACTATCTATAATTCTTTTTAGCTCTTATTTTTCAGTAATTACTAATAATTTGAGTTCTATGTCTACAGTAATTCCATTATGCACCTCGGAGATGTAGGGATTAATATGTTTTCCACATGTCGGTGTTTTAGGATGGGGACGACCATACTGTTTTGATTGCTTTGAAGAAATTCACTAACCCATGAATTTATAACAAATGATTACTATTATGATGTAGAGAGATGAGGAATTGGTTGGAATACATTTTATATTCTATTTTCTTGCAAATCCGCACAATTCAACAGGTATGTGTAGCTATAATGATCACATATACACACAGTATATTGAACTTAACAAATTTCGAGATTGACATGAATTAACAAACGACCAAACCTGCTTCCAAATTTAACAGCTAGAAAATCGACCTATTATTTCTCCAATTCCCATTCGCTGACGGTATAACGGATGGTCAAATGTACACCTATAACATAAATCAAGATACACGAAAGTTGTCCTGTTTTCTCTGTACAAAAGAATCATGCTGGAATCAAAAAGTGGTCTTGTTTATAATACAGTCGAATTTTTACGATTTTATTCAACATTTTAATAGAAATCACTGATATTCTGAGACCTTTGACAGCTTCCGTCAAATTGCATTTCGTTAAGGTATTTTCCTATTGGTCCATAATATTAATGTGGGCGAAATCGGCATTTAGACTAGTTCTCTGTCTTATTCAGCAGCCAGAACAACATCAAGATGAATGAGCGAAGCTACTAAAGGCGTTACTTTCATTTGGGCTTATTAACAGAAATAAGCCGTACATCTTTCCGGAACCTACTCCACTGTAGAAAGGGACAGAGTGAAGACAAGCACGCGTATGATAACTCTGGTTGTTGTGTAAACTGTTACAATGCACGCTTGCTTGTTACGCTAATCAAACTGTCGGAATGGTTTGTTTTCTGTTGAATTGGCAATCCAGGGCCGGATTCTCTGGCTGAGATTGCTCATAAATAAGACAGTACGGTCTGGCACCAGTACAAAGGGGCGTTTCTAATGAGAGTGTCTGAATAGTACATTGCTTCTGATATAGTCGACGAGGTCCTAAATCTACCTAATAACTCCAGAAAAAAATTGCGTCAAGTAGGTTAGTTTTGACAGAATCACTAGTGCACTATTTGGACTTTTCATGAATAAAAAATCCTCAGATTGCAGCAGTGTGCGTTTTCCGTGATGTACGTATCATATAGCATCCAAAGAAGAAAATATTTAATTCATTCATTTTCGAAGTTTTTCACGATAACAATACTTCGCCAGGAGGACCGCACACTGAAAGAATCATTTTCATCGATATCTTAAGGCAAAACGAACATGTAAAATGTTCCATAGGAAGAATTAGTGCTCGTACCGGGTAACGCGGCACCTACACACAGTCTTCTCAAAAATACAACGCCGCATTTTCCACTATAATCGTACATCCTACATAATAAAGAACGCGTTACAACTGGCACAATAGTTATTTTTTTTATATATTCCAACTACCACGAAGGCCTAAGGCTTAAACACCCATAAGGTACCGTGGGGCTATAGGGGGATACAGGGGAAAGGGGGAACACCACACGGACTCTGGCGAGGGAACACGTGTGCATGCCACATGCACACATTCTGGCTCCGCCTACGAGATTCGCCGGGTGATACCTCCACGTTCGACAGTCAGAGACCGTCTACCACCTACGGAAAATCACAACATCCATAGCCAAGAGAAAAAATGTTCCTGGAACGGGACTCGAACCCGCACAGCGCACGGCGACTGATCAGGAGACCGAAGAGTCTACTACTGCGGCCACCGCTGCTGCCTATAATTATTAATACCATGCCTATAGCCGTTAGCAGTAAAGCTTTGATATATCCACAATTAATCCATAAAACCGGTGAATTCACTGAGCAGTAAATGCCATAAGCTGTTTCTGACAATCCTTCCGATTTGCATTTACTGTACTTTGAACTTTTGATTGAGGCAGAAGAATTGACCCTTACAATTTACACTTTCCTTTATTCAAGTGGCCTATTATGGGAATAAGTCAACAAGAAGGAAATCGCAAGTCTGTCAACTCTTGAACTAAGTATTTTAAAAAACAGAGGTAGAATTTTCTTCTCATTTTGAGATAACCCTTCAGTTCCGATCAAGTCCTATTCGAATAGTTTTTTAACGTTCCGATAGTAGTTCTTTATAAAACATTAACCCTTTAATGCGCAGTAAACCGTGAAACTTCAAAACTTCGTAAAAGTCGGGCTTTTGCCTCTCTAATGGACCCTTTCACTCAGAAAAATGACAAAAAAATTTGTCTAGCGGAAAACTTCTGTTTTAGGGGTGGGAAAATAGTATCCCACTGCCCATGTAGGGAAACGAACATCTGGCTGCAGGCAGTGGGTGATTATTTACCCACCCCCTAATTTGCATGTGGAATTAAGAACACGTAAGTAAAAAATACTTTATTTCACGAAATTGTATATATTTTTTTCTAAACAAAGGTCTATCCTTACAAAACAGAAACTTCAATATCACGACTAAATTGCATCGGAAGAATCAAAAGGTTCAAAACATGCTTTGCACAATGCAATGTTGCAAGCAGTACAAATCATGTTGCTTCTCTTTTCTTTCGCCTTCGTACTGCAGTGGGCGCATCTACGATATTTCTCTTGCTTTTTGGGCATATGGTCTCCGACGTTTGATAAGCGAATTGCATTTTGGACGGCAGGGTAACCGCCCGGTTGATGTTTTTTCTGCCTACTCCCGCTCCGGGGCTCTAGCCCTTGCGTTTTCTGCTGCAAAATTACCGATCATTTCGGTGACCAATTGAGAGCGAAACCCGAGGTGAGACAAATAACGAAGAGTCCGTGTACATGACGCAACTATTTACTATCGCCATATCGATGAAATAATAGAACAGTTTCAACCATCACCGACGAGATTTCTGGGCAGTCGAGTAAGTCTACATAAGCTGATTTGTCAACTCCACCCTTTAAGGTGTTGTAGTCAGCGATAGACTCGGGACAATTCACTGATTCCTTCTCACCGCGCTTGTTTGTTCGAAGGGTTGTGCATAGAGCTGACAACGACAACCGACTTTTTGCCGAGATCTTGCCACTTTGCTACCGCACGCAAAGAGACGCTCGTTTAGTAAGAGCTTCAACAGTGGTTCGCTTGAAAAAAAAAATGTCAAAAAAATAGACAGTATCCTTATCCACGCAGCATCGTAGATAATTCGAGAACAATCCTCTCTCCTAGCCCAAGATCGGTTGTTCCCGTAGAGCGACCTGTATCTACCTGGAAATACATTACGAAACCGGCATCTGAACACGCCATAACCGAGACTTTGAACCCTCGTTTTATGGGTTTCATGGGCATGCATTGTTTGAGACTGCTACGCCCTTTGAAGCCGATCATACTTTCGTCTATTGAAAGAAATCGCGAAGGGTGGAATGCGTTCCGAAAGGCGTTCTGAAAATGGGTGATTAGGGGCCGTATTTTGAACAGGCGGTCATAATCAGGGTCCATTCTCGGTAACATCTCGAGATAGTCATTTAGATCTAGATAACGGAGTAATTTAAAAAATCGTTTTTGACTCATTACTCTAGCTATCCTCTCCACGTGAAAGTTATCGTCTTTACTCCAATAAGATCGGAAGGTCGGTAGAATATGGAATCCCTTAAATATGAGCATACCAAGAATAGCCCGCAATTCATCAACAGTCATGCTGAGATCCTTTTGAGTAGCATACAGATTCGACTGGGTCACAATAAAAGTCAAAATGTCTATGGTCAAGAAAGTTTGAAGAACTTTGAGAGGGAGCTCATATCTACGTCATCTTTAGCCCTGGCACCGGGTTCTGAAAAGTGGAAGGTGCTGTATAACTTAGGATCCGCACCAGATTTTGTCCAAGTGCCGTGCGATTATCGTCACCTCCACCATCAGTGTCACCTCCAGCTCTACCATCACCGTCACCACCATCCTCAGAATTTCCCTCACGCCCAGGATCCCCGGCGCCACCAGAATCTTCCTCAGACAAAGTATTGTGGATTTTACGGCTAGGCTTAGGAGAGTTTGAATAACCGGAATCGTCAGTATTTTCATCAAAATCGTCAACGGAATACTCCGCCAAATTTTGTTGAGCTGCGTAACGCGACCGCGTAGACCGCCGACGTAATGAACCTCGCAAGCCAGGTTCACTGCTATCATTCAGTGGTTGTCTAGGAATAAAACCTTCTGCGTCAGAAACACCATCCAGTTCCGAATCCTCAGCTTGATCATCTGTGATTTCTCCTAGAAATCTGGCTATTTCAGTATCGCTTAGGCCCGTATCGTCAGTTGTCCCTACAATTGTAGGGCGCCTTTATGGCCTCCTTGATTGTCATAGTTTTCTACTTCTCCGTGTCACCGCTCTATTTTGAGGTTATGTCACCAACATCAATTTGCATCAAATTGTGCTTGGTTTTGAGTTATATCATGTTTTATCACCCTGAAATTACCTACAATTTAAAAGGAAAACAAATCTTCACAATAGGAGAGCGCTGACGCTGACACGGGATAAGTGTAATCTAGAAATTTTGAAGGAGAGAAAGGAGTATGACAATCAAGGAGGCCATAAACGCGCCCTACAATTGTAGGGTCGACTGACGATACGGGCCTTAGACGTCTTCTTGACATAATTACTGTCCTGAAAAACGAAAATTAATGAGTGATAGTGAAAATAAAATTATAAATGACGATAACAGCTAAATTTGAAGGTAGAAGTCGCATTTCTGAAAATGTAAACAAAACCATGACTTGTTAGGTTATAATGGCACATTTCACAGAGTATAACATCTGTGTGCACACACAACATTCGATTACAATGGCAAATCATCATAAGTTAGACCCCTTAGACAATCTATAGCTATATGCGATTAGAATAATCACCTTGGGTAAGCCAAGAAATAACACTGGACAACAAATTTTAGTTTCTTAATTGTATCTTGTGGGAAAAGTGCACTTCTTTGTTAATTTTGTGGCGCTGAATCCAAAAATGACAATGAAATAAAAAAATTAGTTGCAGTTTAGAAAAAAAACTTTTTGTTTTTAAGGATATATTAAAAAAAGTAACAAGATTCATATTCTTATAAGAATCACTATATGCGCTGTCTTTTTGCTGTGCTTTTATGGATCGTTTCTGGAGCATCTCTACCAAGAGTCCAACAGTAGTCTGCAAGCATGGAAGGATTCCACTTTCCCTGGTCCTTTTTTCCATTGTTGAAATATCCTGATGAAAACGTTCGCCGTGCTCATCACTTACGGCTCCACAATTGTCAGGAAAAAAGTCCAGGTGTGAGTGTAGGAAATGTATCTTAACAGACATATTACAGCCCATCTTTTGATACGATGACAGCATATTTTTGACAAGGGTTTTATAGTTGTCAGCTTTTCTATTTCCCAAGAAATTAGTGACCACCAGACGGCAATCATTCCAAGCAGTTTTTTCAATACCTGTTAAAGTGTTTTCAAACTGTGTATCTTTCAAAATATTTCGAATCTGTGGCCCAACAAAAATACCTTCTTTAATCTTTGCCTCACTTAGTCTTGGACATTTCTGACGCAGGTATTGAAAAGCTGACCCATCTCTATCTAATGCCTTGACAAAGTTTTTCATTAGGCCCAGCTCGATATGCAGTGGTGGTAATAAAATTCTTTTTGGAATCTACTAATGGCATATTCTGTACATTTTTTTGACCTGGCTCTAGGAATTGACGAACAGGCCAGGTTTGTCTGGTGTAATGAAGTGCCTTTGCCCGATTGTCCCATTCAACAAAAAACAGCAAAACTTTGTGTAGCCTAGCTGCAGCCCAAGTAAAAGTGCAACAACTTTCAAATCGCCACAAATATGCCATTAGTGCTCATCGTATTTTATGCATGTCAATAGGTACCTCATATTGTCATATGATTCTTTCATGTGAACTGCATAATGAAGTGCCTTTGCCCGACTGTCCCATTCACACAAAAAACAGCAAAACTTTGTGTAGCCTAGCTGCAGCCCAAGTAAAAGTGCAACAACTTTCAAATCGCCACAAATATGCCATTGGTGCTCATCGTATTTTATGCATGTCAATAGGTACTTCATATTGTCATATGATTCTTTCATGTGAACTGCATACCCTACAGGAAGAGATGGTAAAATATTTCCAATATGCAATAACACTGCCTTTAAACTCAATGTTGAACTGTCTATAAACAATCTCCATTCTTCTGGGTTATAGTTTATATTTAAAGCCGCCAGTAAGCCGTTAATGTTACTGCAGAAAACCAAGCTATTCTCCATATTGAAAAATGGTTCTGTCGTTGTGGCGTTTACGAAAAACACATACTGCTGCAGTCTTGATCCAAGTAACTCTGCCGCACATTTTGGAAGTTCTAAATCTCTTACAAGATCATTTAATTCTGACTGTGTTATTTTGTGCGGTTGGTGGCATGACGTGCTCGGTATAAAATCAGGATCTCTTGACGTTGATGGCATATCTTCTTCCTGACGAATCACTCGATCGCCATGATCTGATTCGTTTTATGATCCGCAAGTGTAGGATTCTGGGAGCTTTGGAATAAGATTTTCGTCACTGTGAGGCTAAGGTCTCATCGCAGATGGTATGTTTGGGTAGTTAATAACCGATTTTTTTTTCTTGGACATACCTGTGGCTTGTCCAACACAAGGTACCATGCAAAAGTAACAATAATTAATATGATTTGTAGGCTATCTCCAAACCATTGGGACAGCAAAGCGCATAGACCGTTTTTTGCCATTTAACCAGCTCCTCAGACTTGAAGCACATGTATTACAGCAGATGTGGGGTGCCCACTGTTTGTCTTGATCACCTAGTTTACAACCGAAATAAAGCTGATATGCCTTTGTTATTAGTGGAGTAATAGACCGTCTCTGAGCCGCAAAAGTCACATCACCACACACGTAACAAAACTGATCTGGATTGTTTACACACTTTCGAGACATCTTGCATGAACGCTGTCAGCCAACTGAGGAAAAAATGGCTAATATAAAACAATATAATGTACACGTATGTATAACGTAACACAATCATGCCGATTACATCATCTTTCCTTGCCGAATATAAAAATGTAGCACGTGCATTCTTGTGAATTACAGTATATTAACACTGTCACAGCAGGAACACATATAATTACCGTATCTCTAAAAACTTGAACTAATATTGAAAAAATAAGTTTCATTCCGGTTTTAGCACATTAAAAATAGTAATATTTTGTTGATTTTATTTAGGATATTTTTTAGCTGTTGATCAGTGTTATATTATTATCATTATTTACAGAGGGTGATGTAAAACCCAAAATGTATTTTTTTCAAAATGTTTATACTAGTTTATTATAATAGTAATGCCGTTTTTGCTAACAGTTTTGAAAACATTTGATATTCACCAATCCAGCCATTCAGAGAAATTACCTCTTCCTACAGGTTAAACGATTTTTTTACACCGAAGCAGCCGCTCAGGCAGAAGCCTAAACGCCAGAGCAACACGGCTGCTATGAAGAGCTTAGAGAAACTTATTAATCCGATTTCTAAACTGCCTAATCTCAATAGAACTGGGAAAAGCCTCCTCATGTACATTGTCCCACAATCTCGATACCCAGCGACAAAGGAGCGGTCGTATCGGCCAGTTCTGGATGTACGAAGTTCGATACGGTTAGAAGGGGATGCAGAAGTCTGACCAAAACGTAGCGGTAGAAGAGATATAGAGTGCTTTTCTGAAAGGAATCAAGTTTTTTTACCTCGGTGACAAAAGTTTTGCTATTTTTGATATTTTTTCTATGCTTAACTGATCAATCAAATAAAGCTGAACATTTTTACGGAATTTGCCGAAAGTCATCGAGTTTTCGACTTTTTTTATACTTGTTACGGACAAAAATATACATAGACCAGAGGTTCCGTATCTCAAGCTCAGCCCGTCAATTACCAAGAAGGTGCTGTGCCAAATTTTATGTGTGTATGTTTTCCAATAAATATTGATCTTGATTAGTGGCACGATTCCATAAAAGTTAATGGGACATCTCATAAAAGTGGCCTTAATTCCGCGATGCTATAATGCTTTAATACGTGCACGTAAACTTTTAGTTGAGGAGCCTCAAAGGTAATCAATAAGGTAGCTGCAGTTGGTAGGTGTGAACTGCAGTTGGAGATACGCTAATCAGTAGAGCTCATCGTCTGAAAAATAAGAACAGGAAGCCAATTCAAACAGTATTAGTGAGTAATTGAACAAATGCGCTTCGATATTCGAGGTACATTACTATACACATTTTGAAACAAAGCGAATGTGTCTATCACCTTTTGTTGCGAGTTACTCACAAATACGAAATGTTTGAATTTGTTTAGAAGAAAAATCGTAAACCATCCTTTTTGCATAAAAATAACATTTATCTTCCGATTCATATCTGCAAGGTACTATAGTTCTCGTTTGGATTTCGTAGCAAACGGACGTGCTGATAAGCGAATCGATGAGTACGAGTACAAATAATATAATCTACGTAATAAAAAGGTGTTCCATAACAAAAGCCACCCCCAATCTTTGTTCATGGAGTGATCAACTACGAGGAAATGGTCAACACCATTAGAGACATATTAGAAGACGAGCAATATATCATGAAGAGCCTCGCAAACAACGTTGTGAAAATAAACTGCGCAACCCCAGAATCATACCGTAAGCTCGTCAGAAACTTCAAAGAAAATAGTATCTTTCACCATACCTACCAACTGAAAGAAGAGCGATCATACAGGGTAGTGATAAGGTATCTACATCACTCTACAAAAATCGATGATATAAAGAGGAGCTGGGAAAACCACTAAACTTATTCTTTGTAGATCTTGAGCCAGCCGAAAATAATAAAGATATACAGGGTGACTTTGAAGTTGAGTCATTAATTTTCAGATAATGATTGTAGAAGGAAGATAAAAATTAAAAAAAAATTTTACCTTTTATAAAGTATCCTCCCGACAAGTATTTCAGTGCGGACCTGTATTTGATCGTGAGGTCTTGGAGCACCGGCATGCCGTCGCCTGTGAGGTCTTAAGTCACCTGATTCACGAGCCCGTTGTACTACATTAACAAAGGCACGAGGGGTTGGTTGCACTCGATTGGGAAACCGATCCGCATAAACATGTGCCATTTTTGATTTCGTTTGAGCCACGCAACAGACACC